ATAATTCCTTGTGTGTCCAATCACACCTGGCCAATAAAGTATTCTATTCTATTCTATTCTATTCTATTCTATTCTATTCCTACTTCTATTCTATTCTCACATAAAAGTGACTCTGGGTGGTGTACAACACTTAATTAAAAAGCACTAAATACATAAAAACAAATAAGTTATAACATAACTATAAAAAGGGTGCACAATTACCACAGAAAGGGAGCAATCGCAAAATTTCTTCAGTCCCCTGGGACCCTCAGGCTGTTAAGTCTTAAAATGCAAACAGATTTTCCACTAGACTAGAGCAATATAACTAAGATAACTAAGATTGTTTCAAATATTCATTTGAGAACAAATTTCTATGCTATATTGCCCCCCCCAATAACCTCCTGAATTCAGATTATAAAAAAGATTATCTGCTTAAAAAGTAGATAAATAGTTTTAATTAAAATGGTTTAGAATTGTGTTTCTTAAAACATTTTTCTCTCAGGACCCTTTCCCACTGTTAAAAATTATGGACATCGAAGATTTGTTTGTTGGGATGTTTATCAACATTTCCTGTATTTCCTGTATAAAAAAATTAAAATTGGTATGTTCACTACCATTATAAATTCTCACAACTATTTGGTGGGATTTTATTATATTTTTCAATATAGGTTGGCAAATAATTTTGATTTCATATATCTGAAAAGGTTTTGGGGGGTGTCCTCCAGGGGTTCTTGGACTACACTTTGAGGAACACTGGTGTACCGAAAAATGGATGTAGAACTGTGTTACAAAAGGATTGCAAGTTCTGTTCTGGTACCAAAAACCAATCTGCAGTGATGAGAATTAAACCAGAGATACTGTGTTGTGTGAAAACTTTGGGTCAAGTCAAAATTAGTAAAAACAAAAATAACACAAGCCACAATTCTGCTCAAGAACAATCCAATGTATTGTGGGGGGAGCACACGCATTCACATGCAAGAGAAAGAGAGAGAGAGCCAGAAGCAAAAAATTCCACAACTTTAATACCTATGTAGAGGTAAATATCTACTGGTATTGTTCACAATCCAAATCTAGTAGATTTTCACTACTGTGTGAAGTAGACCTATTTAAGTCATGGTTGTTTTAGCAATAACAAACCTAATAGCCATGGCACAATTTATTGAACCAGAATCTGGTTTGCAAACCAGTTTCATTCATATTACACTAAATCAAACTATAAACAACTGCATTTTACTAAACCAAGCAGAACCTAGACTATTTAGTACTCCTTACAAAGATTTACAATGAAAAAGCAGCAATTAGCCAGCCAAGATTTCAGATTAACACAAATATTCAGCAAAGTCTCTGATCAGCTTCTGAAAAATCTTACGGTTTTTTAACAATACCCAATAGTGCGTATAATACTTAATAGTAAGTAGATGCAGATTAGCAACAACAATGAAATGGGCTTCTTTTCAGTAGAGACCTAATTATGAAAACCCCTCCCTTCTTCCCCTATTCTTTTATTAACTCCTCCTCTCAGCTGGTTCCTCGGTTCTTTTCCTGTTCGCTTCCAAACAAGTAAAAACCATGAAGGCTGGGTAGGTAGGTAGAAGCTAGTTAGAAGCAATTCTACCTGGCTTTCTACTTTCATATTTTGCTGAAAAGCTGGAATCTCTCATCTGGGTCACTACTTCATGGCTCTTGGGTAAGTATTTGTTTCTGGGGAAGGGCTGTTGTGTACAAACTGAACTAACCGTAGGCTTTTTCAAGAATTAGAATAACAGTTTTTCTAGTTTGAATGTTCACCTGGGCAGGAATTAAAAAACAAATTAAATTCCCTAAAAACATTAAAATGAGACAAAGTTGTCACATTTAAGCGCTTTTTAATTTCTGGTACGTTACTCTAATGTAATTTAACTCAACCTCTGAAATGATTGTGGACTGGTAGTTCTTAAAAATTTAAAACTAAAATTTAATTTTAAATTAACTTGTAGTTATAAAATATTAAAAATGGATTAATGAAGCTTGGAAAATAGCATTTGGGGAGAACATGGCGCGCACACACACACACACACACACACACACACACACACACACACACACAGATAGATTAATCCTTGTATTTTCAAATATTCTTTGTAGTAGCTCTTTCCACTGCTTTTATATTTGTACAATTATGAATATAAGAGCATATTTGCCAAGTTGTTCTTTGGCAAAAGCATATTGTAATTGTTTTAGAGTATGTTCTCTGAAGACAAAATTTGCCTTTCAAGTTTCCTATGTGGAAAAAAAAAGCAACAATTGTACAATACCAAACATAATGGTATAAAAGCAGGGGTTCCCACAACCGGGGGTGCGAAAACTTGGGTTTAGAAGTTTCAAAAGTATACTGTGTATGTATAATTATATGCATATAATTATTTTAAGGGGTGTGAGAATATATCAGAAGTGTTATAGGGGTACGAGGTATAAAAAGGGTTGGGAACCCCTGGCATAAAGGAATGTTTTTTAAAAAAAACTCTTAGATACCAATGAGGGTCAAGCCCTATGGCCTGAGGACCCCTAATCTTTGGTCATCTGTCTTTCTATAAAATATTCAGTATGGATTATGGCAGAAAAACCTAGGCAAGTACAGTATAAAAAGTACTTAGTATCAAGAGCCAGTCTTAAATCAACCAACTTTAAAAGGCAGCCGGCATGCTTTAAAGTAAAAATCCCTTTAAATTTAGGGGCCCTGATATCTGGCTACAGCCCTATAGGATTGAACCCACATGATACAATTACGCTGAAACGGGGGAAAAAGTGGCCCCTAGTGAGGGGAAATGTTGCTTAGTCTGATGAAAAAATAATTCTAGGTTTGCAACAAAAATTGCAGGTAATATAACTTTGAAACGAGTAAGGAAGGGTAGGGGCGCGGGGGCTGCTCATTCCTAGCGCCCCTCCAAATTCAGTTCCTCCAAAATCGTTTCGTTTTTTGTTTATTTTTTCGGTGCATCCCTGAACGTGGCTCCCTTTCCTTCTACGAGAAGAATTTGAGTTTTGCCGGCTTCCACACGTTAACATATAAGCCAAAACTACCGAGTCTGCTGGCTCATCGCTTCTGATACACGCCGCTCTATTTTGCAAACCGCTCGTTCGCCGGGTGAAGTCGACCCAGCCAAAGGATGCTCTTTCCCCTAACCTAACTTGGTGTGCCAGCGGGTCCTTCACCCTATCGGACCCATGAATAGCCGCAGCGCCGAATTTCCCTCAGCGCGGTTAGAACCCCAGCGTTGCTTCGCTCCCCCACTCCCCATCTTTCCAGCCCCCCCCCTCGCGGTTAACGGTCCATCCAGTCACGTGGCGAGGCCCCGCATGCCGGAGAAGGCGGCCATGCGGTTGCTGGGGTGGGACAGGGCGGCCGAAGCCGGGTAGTGATTGGACAGTCGTCGGCTGACCTTCCGCGGAGGCCCCGCCCCTTTCGTAGCTCCGGGGGCGTAGGGTTTATAAGCGGGGACGCGAGCGGACGGGCGGGCTTGAGTTGCTTTGGCTGATGAGGTGAGTTGTTGGTGGGGGTTGGAGGCCGGACGGGTGTGTGAGGGACTGGTAGGAGCTGTGATGCCGACGTATCGCGGAGCCTTGGGGCCGCCTGTTCCTGGCTGACCGAAGGATGTCGAGGGAAGGAGAGACGAGCCTTGTCATGGTCCCAATTCGACGAAGGGATGCCTCGGGAGCTCCGGTCCGCCAACAACATGGACGGCTTTGAGCGGAGGATGACCCAGCGCTGCCTCGTCACTAGTCCCCGCCAAGCTGTCTTGCGGGCACTGAAGGAGGGTCCCCTCTTTTTTTCCCGGCTCTGGCAGAGATGGAACTTCCCTGGCTTCTCTTGTTGCCCTTACCTGTTTTCCAAAAAAAAAAAAAAAAAACCACCATGGGAGATGGGCTGCGAATTGATGTCTCCACCGTTTTTCCTGGGTGGGAATTAGACTGATGCTCCTTTGGAGAGGATACTTCCTAGAAAGTGAACTTGGGAGTTCCTAGTAGGCTTTGGATGAGGTGGTGGAGCTGTGTTCCTCTTAATTGCCTTTAGAGTAAGGGACTGCTTGTTTCTCCTCTTTGGAAAGAGGAAAAAAAATGCTGATTGATTTACCTTTTACTCCTTCTCTCATTCCACTGGATGATGGTATAAACATTTGTAAAATGGGACTTTAGTCTTCAAAAGCACACTTGCACATGCTTATACTGTATATGCCCAGAAGCATGCACACAAGCGCACACATGCATACAAAGGTACTCCCAATATTTGGTTTCTTCTGTATCGGAGGGCTTCTGTCCATTTGGAAGTTTGTATTTTTATTTCAAGGGATGCTGGTGCAGTGTAGCCTTGTTCTACCAGGTGCCAACTGTCGGTATTAATTCTATGCTTCCCTGGTCATCAAACAAGACAGGAAGGGCAAAGGTTTCGCTGCTTTCTCTGGCCTCTCTGTCTCCCTGTAGGTTGCTGCTAACATTTCATTCCAGATCCTGCGTTTTTAGTGCATTGAACAAGAGCCCACGGGCTTCTTAAATATCTCTGGAATTTTAAAGAAAGAAGAGTTTGGAATTGAATTCTGTATAGATGAAACCATAGTGTGTTTTTGGCTTGGTGTGAATTGTAGATGGTCCTTAGTGGATATGGCTGTTAGCACTATACTAGGACAATAACAGCAAATCAGGAGAAATTGAAGCATGAAGAATGTTGGTTCTTCTAAAGGACTCTTGATTAAGGAGCTGTGAAGTTTGCAATTCCTTAACACTGAAATGCTGTAGTGAGTATCCTTTGAGAGTTTCTAAAGTGATGCCTGTATTCCACATTTAAAGGAGAACATAGTTTGTTCCTTGAAAGTTCTGTGGTTCTGGAAACATCTTTTGCATTGCAGTGTATAAGGTATTTTCTGTTGAAGGCACACAGCAGATTGTTACTTGCATATTTATGCCATGCTGCTTGCTTTAAAGATGCTGTGAGGGAGGGAACAGCTAATCAGCCCCAGTTGTTTTTTTTTGCAGCCCTAGCCGTTCCAATGGTGCAACTTTCACAGTCCCCCCTCCGCCGCCCTTCACCTTCATGCCACTCTGAGGAAGGGGAAGAGAAGAGCATGAAGCCAGATAAGCAGCAGGTGACTCAAGGTCCTCGAGGGGATAACCAGCCTCCCATGAGCCCCCTGCAGGCAGCTTTGAATTCTGCAGCCACAGCTTCTCAGGCATACGAGACTTACATTGATAATGGATTTATCTGTTTGAAACACAAGATTAGGAATATCGAGAAAAAGAAGGTAGGGATATTTTTCTAAACTAATAAAGTGCAAGAAATAATATTGTAAGACCATAATTGCTTTCACTGTATAATCTGCCTTTGCTTATAGATTTGGAAAGCAAGGTGCTCAGGGGAAGTAATTTTATTTACTGCTTATAAAAAAATAATTTGCTCTATCCAGAATAAGTGTATGGGTAGTTACTTTTCTTTAGATATTTGCAGCTTTTAAAAGAAATGTTAAGATGGACTTTACATTTAATTTTAAGATAGCTTTGTGACTACAGAGGAATAGGTTTTAAGTAGATATGACATACATATTCATTTCTTTACTGTGTTTTTTATTATACAACAGTCCCTTGTAATAAAAAGTATAAGTTAAGTTACATTGAATTACTGTGTAATTTCTGTGCTGTCAGTGTAATGAAACCTGCCTGACTGGAAATAACTTCATGCTTCATTAATCCCTTTCTTTCTGTTGAAAGATTGCTTTACAATATAGCTGCAAGAGATTTAAATATGTTAAAAGGCTGTAGTTAGCTGTGAATATATATATTATCTCTAAATCACAATGGTGCTTTTGATATTCTAACATTTCTATTCATCAACAGTCCTAAAACACTGTTTCTGTGTTTAGAGAAATGCTAGGTCATATTAGCTCTGTTTGCAATCTCCTGTATAGAGCCTGGACTGCAGCAATGAATTGTAAAGGGTACTTTTTGATTTATTGTTTCACTGATCTCTAATGCAGTGCACTTAAATATCTGGTATATTTTCCAAAAATGTCAGATTGAAAGTTAACCTTACAATAGCATGATATAATATATGGTAGCAATGAATGTTGCAATTAATGGTGTTTGTGTGGTTCAAGCTTGGCCTGTGTCTGAAGAAAAAACTTGTTCATACTTGTTTGGCTTATGTTTGCAGCTCAAGTTAGAAGACTACAGGGATCGCCTGAAAAGGGGGGAGGTCCTCAATCAAGATCAGTTGGTAAGGTATCTGTTTTTATACCTCATTTTTATTGTTTTATCAACTTTTTTTACAGCTACTCTTGATCAAGTTAAATGGCATGTGGTAGGAATGCCACATGTGCATATATCTAGCTAGCTAGGCTAAATTCCTGCTATATACCGAGTGTATATAGAAAAACTTGGGGTTCTTTTTGTTAAGACTTAGCAGAAAATATAGGCTTTAATAAATAAAATGTGATAAAGTTTAACACTAATGGGAATAGAAGGCTTCTGGGAAATGAAACATGTTCCTTTCAGTGAAACTCTGCATCATTCAAGTTCCTCACCTATAACCTATAATTTACTTTGGCCTGTTGATTTACTTTAGCCAGTTGATAAAGGGATAAAGTAATGGTACTGGGTTCAAACCATGCTAATCAACAAATTAGACAATAACATTTTAACTTAGCATGTTTGTGCAAACCATAACTTATACCTCTTAGATATAAGAGCTGTGGACATTGTCAGTAGAATAGACCTGTCTCATCTGCTCTTTATAGCCTTCTCTTATTTCCTGCAGCATTGTCTGAGTACCTTACAATATAGCCAAAAAATGTTTCTGAGTATTTAAAGAGATTTCCAAATATAAGGTACTTGAACAAATTTGGTTAATCTGTATGTATTAGCAAAATCAATTGCCATGATCTTTCAAATAGTACTATAATTGCAGACTTTTATAACCTGGGAGCCTTCCATTGTATTTGGGATGACAGCTCCTGAAATTCCTTATAGAACAGCAAAAAGTAATCAAATGACACTTGGAAGATTCCATTGGAGACAGAATTAATGTTTTGGTAAGAGGAAATTCATGCTAAAGATTTTCTGAGTGGCGTTTGAAGTACTTCAAAAAATTTTAGAAGGAGTCATGGTAGATCATACTTGCTCATGTAATTTGTGCAAATAAAAAACACTGTGATATTTTAAAGTGTATTATCTTAAACATACTATCTAGTTGATACTTTATTAATTGCTTAGATGCTGGGGTGTCTATCTGCATGTGGTCCTAGACAGCTAGTAATGCAACCCCACAAGATATAAAAAAGGGAATGTTATTTATATTAATTGTATTATACATTTTATATGTCACCCAATGGCCAAGACAAGCCAAAACGTTAGACAACATGCTTTAAGTTTAATTTTTCTTTTACAAGGTTTCTGCTTAAATGTTTGGAACTTGATGCCATGCAGAATCTATTTTGAATTCATAATAGTGATATTGGCAGAAACAAAGTTAGGTATTCAATAATCTAAAGTTTTGTTTCATGTACTGTTGCAAAATAGAGAGTTGTGGCTGATTTAGAACTGAGGTATAAAGATGAATTAGAAAGTTTTGGTTAATACTTCTTGGGTTGGTTGTATATTGCTAAAATTACAAAAGCATATTTTAATAGCAATGATCCAATTTAGACATGCAATCCAATTTGCATTATTCCAGGTTCCTGTTGTGGAAATTCCTACTATTAAGTTAAATATTTAAATTTCTTTTAAATATTTGGGTTGGCGTATTTAGCTGGTATGAAATAGCTTTTCAGCTACTATGAGGCAACATACAAATTGGTAAATAAAAACACAGAAAAGTTATCATGCAAAAACTAAAGAAACAAACTAGGATTGCTGGTGCAATAATCATGTATTGTTCAAAATAAAAAATGGAATAAATCAATTATTGTAATACTCTTGATGTATTTAAAGGCTACCTTCGAGATATCTGCCATACTACAAATAGAAATAATTATTTTAAACTGAAATATAGTCCTTTGAAAAGATACTAGTTAATTTTTAATATTTAGAAATTTTTAATACTTTTTTGTTTTACTGAACAAAATTTTATTATAAAGTTATTTATAAATTTTTATGTGGTATATACTCTTAGTGCTGTGTTTACAACAATGTCTATGTTCATGTGAGTTTCTTTCAATAATCTTTTATTTAAATAGTTACAAATGTTATAATTCTTAAAATGTCACTTAATCCTCCCTAAGACTTAATGGTTGTTGCTTGTTTAAGTTTATTTTTTATAAAAGTCAGCCAAAGTCCTCTTTCATGTTAAACATGTTATAACTGGGTGGGGGGGGTGTTTCAACACTTTAACATGATGTGGAAACTTTATTGATAAAATATTCATGTTTTAAAATATTGATCTTGCCCAAATCAAAATATGAAGAGTATTTATTCTGATCAATATGAAAAATAGAATGCTTGTTTAAAATTAGCCAGAATGCTGTATAAGCAAATAAATCCTGATCAAATAAAATTGGCTGATTTTTTACTTGTGTTTCATTTTGAGTGTAAGCCAGGGGCAGAAAACATAGTAAAATCAAATTAGTGTTTTAATCCACCCAAATATACCATACATTTTATCTGAGGTACTTCAAGATCCATCTCAATAAACCTAGATGCATTTTTAAATGAATAAAAACTGACTAATTGCAGGAAGCTGTTGAAAAATATGAAGAAGTTATACATAACTTGGAGTTTGCTAAAGAACTTCAGAAGACATTTTCTGGACTAAGTCAAGAAGTGAGTACAGCATATAATTGTGTTATTAGGTAATTAAGTTGACTCAGAAAATGTGTGAAGAATTAGATTTTTTTCCCCACTGCTAAAATAATCACAGACTTGAATTATGCCTCTTCCATGGCAGAGAAGCTGCTTCTGACCAGTCATGATATGTATATGTAGGATGTTTTATTGTACAGGTAGTCCTTAACTTAAAACAGTTTGTTTAGTGACTGTTGAAAGTTACAACGGCTCTGGAAAACGTGACTTATGACCATATTTCACAGTTGCAACCTTTGCAGCATCCCCATGTTCATGTGATCAAAATTCAGATACTTGGCAACTGGTTCACATTTATGACCATTACTGTGTCTCAAGGTCATGTGATCCCCTTTTGCGACCTTCTGACAAGCAAAGACAATGGGGAAACCAGATTCATTTAACAACTGTGTCAACTAAAGCGATTCACAACTGGGACAAAAAGGTCATAAAATGGGGCAAAACTCACTTAACAAATGTCTCACTTAACCACAGAGATGTTGGGTTCAATTGTGGCTGTAAGTCAAGGATTACCTGTATCTACAAACATAAACTTAAAAGAAACGTACATAATATGGCCCATATTACTTTGATATAGAATATACTGGCAATTAAATTGCTTGCATTTTAGGCATTAGTGTTTGTAAAAGCTTGAAATTTGGGACTTGGGAAATTCCTTATAAATGTGGTTAAAATGATCATTGGCTGAAGGTATTTTCCTGAGCTTCAGTCTGTCCATTGTTTAGACCCTTTTATGAACCCACCACCAATCTCTTCTTCAAATTGATACAGCTACTAAAAGCACAGCGGAAAGCGCAACGAAGAGAAACCTTACTGAAACTTGAAGCAGAGAAGAAAAAGCTCCGCACAATACTGCAGGTCCAGTATGTGCTGCAGAATTTTACTCAAGAGCATGTGCAGAAAGACTTCAGAAGTGGCTTGAATGGTGCAATATACTTGCCTTCTAAAGAATTAGACTACCTCATTAAGTTTGCAAAATTGACATGTTCAGGAAGAAATGAAACTGTTAGGTAACTTTTCTTACTTTACCTTTAAATCAAATAAATTTTGCAATAGCATATTGAAAATTTGGTTTTAAACCATTGGTGGTTTGTCTTGTTGCTGGATTCAGTTTTGGCAACCCCTTCAGGATGTACTCCCTGATGTAGTTTGTTTCCTCGTCACAGAGAAATGAAATGTTTCTTTTGTGCATTTTTTGACTTACTTCTCCTGTTTGGTATAATTGCATCAAGCAAGAAAAGTTGTTATTTGCTCTTAGTTTGCCATGCTTGGCGTATAACTGGCATCACCTTGAGCAACAGGTAGATTTTAGTGGGCAGTGGGTTTTGATTAAATTAACTTTCAAATCTGTATGAGGACAACCTGCATAATTCTGGCATAATACATACCTTAAGACTACACAGGCTGCCCATATGTACTCGGTTGCCTTGACAAGGAAATGTCATACAGTATCAAATGAAAAATTTATTTTAGTAATATGTACTCTATTATGACTAGATTGATTTATCAATATACTGTTTTGTTACTCTTAGATGTAATTTTAATCTCTTCAGTCTAGAACTATGTAATACAACATTTTTCAATCACATTCATATTCAAAAAAATCAGATTGATGTACCTAGTTTTACAGAAATACGAGCATGACTTTCCTATTAAAATTTTTTTTGAAGATATTCCTTAAAATGTAGCATTTCAGCCTCAGTTAAATTCTCTTGGACTGGAATATATAAATGGATGTTATCATGCTGCTATCAAATACAAAACCAGAATTTCAGGCAAAAATGTATTATTTCCAAATACATAAAAAAGTGTACCTTGTTTTAGTATCCATCTCCTACTTACAGGAAATTAGATTGGCATATTTAGCTGGTATGAAGTATATGGAACATTTTTCAGTTGCCTTAGTTTGAACTTTGCTAAGAAAAGGTCTGTTACCAGCTAACTTAGCAATAAATAGCAAGCCAACCTATTGATTAAAACTTGATTACAAACTATTTTTTTTGAAAACTTTGTTTCTTTCTTTTCATTTTAAGCGTTGAAGACCAAATGGAGCAGTCATCACTCTGTTTCTGGGACCTGCTAGAAGGCAGTGAAAAAATAGTGGTTGGGACAACCTGTGAGTAGAAAGAGGCTCTGTTGTTATTTTGTCAAGCTATAATATGGTTTATTTGCTTTTTGCTTAGCATTTGAAAATCCACCCATTGGAAACTAGGTCATTATGGCTTGGGCAGGAAAGCAGGATTTGAAATCCTGGGTTAGTATTGTCTATATAAGGTGTGACAGTTTCCAGTAATGGATGATACCGCTATTGAGGAAACCATGATTTAGATACCTGCAAAATACATGTCACTAACTTGAAATATTTATTTTTTAAGATGAGTGGTTTCTGCTAGCCAGAGTTTTAAAATACTTTAGGGATATCATTTAATATTGAACACCTTTTCTTTTAGATAAGCATCTGAAGGATTTGTTATCTAAACTGATAGATTCTGGATATTTTGAAAACATTCCTACACCTTGCAACAAACCAGAAAAAGAGGAATTGAAAGAAGAAATGCTTGAAAAACCCAAACAGTTGTCAAAACCAGAGTCTGTCAATGAAATAGGTAATGTATACATTTAAATCTTAAATTACATGATTGACCTTGTCTGGACTTTCAGGTTAAAATGGGCTTGTATCAAGGCTGTAAAATAAGACTCGGGAAATTAAAAATGTCCCTGAAGACACCTAGAAATTCCCAAGACATGGTGTGAATGAAGTCATCATGAGTCCCATTTGACTCAAAGAAAATGCCACTGAAAAATCAATAACTTATTTCTAGCCTATAACCTTTTGTGAAACTGCACATCAGGGACAACATCTGCAGAAATATATTTTTCTTAAAAAACAGGTTGGAGTCCATCCTTTGCACATAATACATTTGCAATTCAAATTAAAGCTCTAACCATACTGTGTTCATTTAGTTTGAATTGTATTAAATTTCAGGGTGGAATTGGGTTTAATTGCTTTGAAGTTGGTAACATAGTTTCTAAGCTAATTGTTAAAGGTTTCTGAATTGACCATTTGCAGGCAGATAGGCTACATTCCCAGGTAAAAGTGCTAACTCATTTCTTGAAATAACTTACGACTCTCCAAACCAGGCCAGTGTGGTATGTAACTTTTTCGCCTAGATTGGTGCTTTGAAATTTGAAGATTTTTAAATCTCCAAAACCTCTTGTAAACAAATTAGAAATGTACATGATACATTTTAGACAAGTGGGATTACAGATACTGCTGAAGTTGTTAGATTAGGTTAATTTTCAAATGTTATTTTCCTTCCCATTATTTTTTGCAAATATTTTCTGGTTTATCAGTACTCTTTTTTTCTGTTTTTATTTTGTACAGTAAACTATTCAGTGTCATGTGGCCTTTAATTAATAATAACAATAATACATCCTGCAATATCTTTAATGCCATCAAACATTTTGCCTGCTTATTCGAAGGATACCAGATCCTTGGGAGGGACCCTGGGTGGATAATAATGCCAAATACAGTCTAAACATCTGATCTACTGAATACCTCATGCTCCCCACAATTGCTTCCCAACCTGCCACACCAGATCACTTACTGTGTGAAGATCTAGCAAGCTGTCTCCTCTCCAGCCTCTCAGCTGTGTACACCCCTCTGAAGCTCTGTTTTGGCATGCCCAGGCCTCATCTGGCACTTTGTAACTCAAAACGGAGCTTCCGAGGGGCGCCCCTGGCTCTCTCGAGCTGCTTTTTGGCATGCATAGGCCTCACACTTGGATATAAACATACTATAAAGGAAAAACCATATTTTGAAATTACAGAGCGAGGGTTGCAATAAAGTATGTTGATCGAAAATGTAAAACTTTTTTTAGAGAGTTCAAGATCTGTTTCCAATGTACCATATCAAATGTGCTCTCTCTAATAGTTGCTGGATTATGATTATTGAGTTAAAATATTTCATCAAATAAAAATCTAATACTATTGGAACCTTTGTAGTCTCAGCTTGAATTAGATACAGAAGAGTTGAGAAAACAATTTGGAATAAATCAAGTCTACCGGGAAGTCCATGACACTGATTTGGGGGATTTTTTTTCTGCAAAAATGGACATTTGTACATCCGCTATGCAATTCCATCACATAATGTACAACTAAGTACAAAATCTTTCTTCTTCAAAATTCTGTGAGGCCTTTAGAGCACGGGTGTCCAACCTTGGCAAGACCTGTGTCTGGCTGGGGAATTCTGGTAGTTGAGGTCTACATGTCTTAAAGTTGCCAAGGCTGGCTACTCCTGCTTTTAACATGACACCTTCAGCCACCTTGAAGTGAAAATACCAATGTGTCCACTTTACAGAGAACCTTTATTCCTGTCTTTCAGGATTTGTTGAAATTGTGGATCATGTATTGCTTTACAGTAGTGCTGGTTTTATGATGGAATGTATTACCTGCATTTAATTCCACTTCTAAGTACATATTGCAGTACATAAGAATTTCATTTTTTTGTTGCAGATATTACAAAAGTATAAAGCTTTATTTTTTAAAGTTGCCAAATTTAGTTTCAGAGCTTTTATCATTAACAAACAGTGAAACAAAACAGCTATTATTAAACTGATTAAAACAAAAGATAATTTGGCATCTCTTAGTTTTTAATGTCATTTTATATAATTTATCATGTACAATTGAGTAAGTTCTTGCTACATTTTTATACAACAGTTTTATAGTATATGATTAATCATAAGTACTTGTTAAACACTGATACTTGTATTTTATTATTCTATTTATTTTTCTTTCTAATTGGATTTTAATACATTATATATTACATTAATGTAAATTCTATTACATAATTATATTTGTTTTTCAATACCCATAATAAATGGAGATTTTTTTGAGTTAAAAAAACTTGGTTTCTCATATGTGTCCAAAATAGAAGATAACTAAGCAAACCATTACTAAATTGTTTAAATAAAAAACACTTCTTAAGATTACTGTCTCCACTTAACTTGGGTTAGCACATTTTTCAATATTGACAGGTTTTGACAGTAATTTAATTAAGTCACTGTTAATCTGAAAAAAATCTACTCTCCCCTATCGACGTAATAACATTTTCATTCAATAAAGATAAATTCAAACTTCATTTGAAATGTTTTTAAATTATTGTAAGATAGGGATATAAGTTTCACAGATGTGCGGTCTGTTATTATAGCATCTGTGCCAAATGCTTTAATTTTAGATTGAAAGAAAATGAAACCCAGTGTTGCATTATGGTTTTGGGTGTTGGGATTAGGCTTCAGAAAGCACCCTTTTAAATGTTTTAAGCCACAAAAGTGTCCAGAACAACATTAGGCCAGTCGCTGACCTGATTGATCTCACAAGTTATACATCAGGATGAAATTTAAGGAGGAAAAGATGTGCAAATTGCTTTCAATTCCTAAGAATAGAATATGGTCAGAATTTAATAATGATTGCATTGTTTGCCTGTGATTAGACATTCATGTATTTTAAGAATTTTTGAGGAACATAGTCATAAAGCATTGGTAGGAATCTGCACAAAAATGATAAGCCAAAGTACAAATCTGCAAAACTTGTTTTGTGATTAGAAATTTATTGTACCATGCATTTTGACCAAGATTGCCCAAACCCATGCATACAATAGTAACAATGTGTGTGATTTGTACTGAGATAAATAAAGTACTGCACATTGCTAACTTGGAATAGGAAACAGAATTGTGGTTGAAGCCACTCAGTCCAAAATCTGAGTCTGGGTTCATATCTTGCCGTAATCTAATGTATTGATTTTGTCTTAATACATTGTGTGAAGTGAGCCAAATATGTCATAAATTATGGTTAACAAATTATAATATATTGTGTTAATTAACCTGACTCTCTTAACACAATTGCAGCACTTGCTTCTGCAAGTACTTGAATTAAAGTTGCTTTTTTTTTTGTTTCCAGAATCTCAAAGGCAGCATGTTCAATCTGAAATACAACCTCAAGAAGTAAGTCTACCATATTATCTGATACATAACAAGTAATGTAGTGGGGTTATAAGTAGCTTTTAATATAACTTCCATTATAAGCTTTGCAAATAAAAAATCTCTTTAAAATCTTGAAGAATTTCAAGTTCCAACAAAATAAATTGATTTTCATTTGTAATTATTGACTTCAACTTGTGTTTGCTAAACTAACTTCCTTCCTTCCTCCCTCCCTTCATTGAGCGAGGTCAAAGATGGAAAATTTCTATTATTTGAAAAAGTATCAGGGAATCATTGGTATTTGGTAATTCTGAAGAATCCTAAGTTTTTCTGAGGCACATCACAAGTTTAAAATTAACAATGACATAAACTGGCACCAAAATAGTTTGTAAAATAATACTTAATAAATCCACACCAGCAAAAAAAAACCCCACAAATGAGCCACAAAGCAAGTTCAAATAAAAGTAGACCTGTGCAGAATGTAGATTGAAGGGGCTTGAACTAAAAATAGCTCTAAAATAAATCAAGTACCAAATAAGTTCTGACCTGCTCTAAATTGTACTTACTACATCTGGCAGGCTTGGATTCCTCCCAGGTCTTACAATGTGTTTACATTCTTCCTCATAGCTAACTGCTGCTTCTGGGAAGTTTCAAATTTTTTCAAGCAAACTTTTTCCTTGTTCTTTAACTGGGGATGGGAAGAGTCATGTCTACTTACTATATTAATTGGCCTTCTTGGGTTTACTTATTAAATACAAAGTATTAGGAAACCAGCCTAGTTTTGTGTGAATTCTGATTTAACAGAGAAACCTGCCTATCCCAGGTCATGTCTAACAATTGGCTTTACAAGGCTTTTGGGATATGCTGAAAAATCTGTTAATAAAGCACTATATTTATTCTAAATTTCTGATCAAATGTTATGTTTAACTTATCCTAATTAAAAAAAACTTGCATAAGTTATTTAAAAAGCTAAAGCATACAATTCAGCCTTAGTTTGTTCAAGTACAGGATTTGACATGTAATCAGTAAAAGAAAAAAAACCCTCAATAGTTGGATAAAGTAGTAAAAGGAATCCACCTCATTAGTTCTGAAATAACAATATTTCAGATCCATTAATATCCATTACATTTGCCATATGCAGTGACTAGAAATTGTCTATAAAAACTGACTATGCAAGTGCCTTATTTTTATTTATCTTCTCAGTTTATAGGCTATTAAGCTTTTATATCTTAGTGATAAGATTACATTAAGTTTGTAATTTTTGAGCTGACCAAAATGAAGGTTTGTAAATAAAGTGGTTAAGGCATCAGTCTAGAAAGCAGGAGACCATAACTCCATGTCCTACTTTAGCCATTAAAGCCAACTGGGTGACTTTGGGCCAGTCACATTCTCTTAGCCCAACCCATTTTCACACAGTTGGTGTTGTGGGAAAAACAGGAGGAGGAAGCTCTGGGTGTTGAATATGTTCACTGTTTTTGAGTTATTTGTAAAAATAATAAAGGCAGGATACAAATAAAGATTAAGAGAAGCATGTTTTATTTTTTTCATGTTTCCTTGAATATTTTAAAAACATTGATCAGTTCCTTTAACTTTATACAGAAGAGGGAATCTAAATGGTCAGAAGTAGGAATTGAAGGCTGAGTTTATTTATGAAGATACTTAAATTTGGCAATCTCTTCCAGCTGCAATAATAGTGGAGTGGGAAACTAGCCAATCTGACAGACAAGCTTTTTAACTTCTCATGAAGCAAAACATCATGATGGAATTAAAAGTCCCATTCACTAATAAACACAGTTCACAGGGAGGCACTGCTTCAGAGAGCTGGGAATATCTTGAAGTAATGTGTTATTCACCTCTCCTCCTTCCGGTCTCATCTGTCTGTCACCTTTGCCAGTGAAAAACACAAAGAGTTAATCCAGTTGCAAGATAATGACATTTGAAAAGTGGGGTCTATTTAAAGAAAGCAAAGAATATAAAAGCAAAACTCTCCAATACTATTTCTAAAATAGCATCTAAAATAGCCACATATCAGATGCATAAGGATAAAACTCAAGAATGAGATGAATATTTGACAGATGCTATACCAAAAGCATATATACTTATTAATGCCTCTCCACTTGTCCATATACACTACCTAATTCATTTCTTCAACTGCAAGTTGTTATAACAATTTACCATAGTAAGTAGTCCTAAAAACCTTATATGGGATTGAGCCACTGCAAGATTATGGCAGTTTTAGATACAGATGGCTTGCAGGTAGATGGCTTACTTCAGAAGCAAATTGTTAACCTATAGATTTATTAGATTTGTATCTTCTGCTGAACCCAAAACAACTGGTTCTTGGGTGACTATATATTCTAGAATCAGAGAAGCTTAATTTTGGACTGGAAAAGATACTGTTTCCATAGTTACCAATGTTTTCAGACACCTCCCTTGATAGCTTCCTGCCACCTGCCTTTAAGATATTTTTTAATTAAAAAACTGAAAGGGAAGCCAGTTTGCTGCAAAGTGTTCGCTTTTAACATCTTTATAGGCATTTTTGGAAAACGTGTGTGACTGCAGTGTTTTGCTTTGCTTACTGTTCTCACTAAATGCAAAAGGAGAAGGCAATATATTGGAGAGGGGAGATAAATTTGGGTGATTGACAACAGCCTCTTTAGTTTATTTCTGATAAGTGAATATGTTTTGACTGGATATACAGTATCCACTTTGGGATTAATAAGTGTTCCTGCAATACCTGCCATTTTATACAAGTACCATGAATGTACAGTAAAACCTCTGGTCTCAACCATAATTCATTCCATACTTTTGGTCGCAACCCGATTTGGTCATGACCCAAACCTAATTTTGGAAATTTGGTGCTTACAAAAAAAAAATGGCGTGGAAGGAGAAATTGGTCGCAGGAAAAAAAATTGTGAATTTTTTGGTCTTGGTCAGAAGTGTTCATGACCAGAGATTCTACTGTACTCTAAAATTTGGAAATGTCCTCACTGGCCCTAAGACATGTCCTCCCACAAACTAGAGATTCTATCGTCTTTACTTGTTGCTTTAGCAATAAGGTATATTTTAATTGATATCTATTGGCCCCTCTGATGAGAACTACTGTCCACATTAATACAGCTTATGCTGAATTTTATGCTATTCCACTGAAGTGTTTCTTTTTTGTTTTGGTCTATACTACATAGTTTCTTAATAGGCGCTATTTGCCTGAAGCAGACCGTACTGTCAAGTCTGAAGGAACCAAACACTGGGAAATAGAACATGCTGTAAAAAGTGATCCCCCCAAGTCCTGGGAAATGCTGGTTGATGTTGAAGAACAGGAACAGAAAAGGCAAAATCCACAATCCATGAAATCTTTGGAATCTGTTAATCAAGAAGGGAAGAAGAAGCTGGAACTTTCGCGGCCTTGGGAATCGCCTCTTCAAGAAGTTGATGATCATAAACAGAATGTTCCAAAGCCTTGGGTGGCCCCAGTTAGAGAAGAGCAGGCCTCTTCCAAATCCTGGGTGACAAAAGAGAAAGAAGAGCAGGAACCAAAGCAAGAAGGTCCCAAGCCTTGGATAACTAAAACCAAAGGAGGATTGGAACAAAACCAGGAAAAGCCAAAAATGTGGGTGTCTCAAACTAATATGGAAACTTTGAAAAAAACAGAACCTGTGAAGCCTTGGGATGCACGTGTCCGAGACGAGATGGAACAAAAGAAACAGCAAACTGAAAAGCCATGGGTCGGACGTATAGGAGAAGAGGCTGAGCAAAAATCTCAGCCTCCAAAAGTTTGGGAAAAATCTGAGAGATCACAGCAAGTGGTCCAGCAGCCATTACAGAATCCTCCTAAGATCTGGGGAGTTGGGAATCTTGCACCAAAGGATCAGACTGAGAAGAAGCTTGACGGGGAACTAAAAGAAGTGAGTTGGTATAAACAACAGCATTTAAATTAATGTGCTTTGCTTGAAAAGTAATTGCTTCACCTATTATCTATTTCTATTTCTATCAACATACTATTGGTAATTCAGTGGTTTTTCTATGTAGATTCTAGGCTGAAGAGAAGAAACCTTGACACCCTATTGAGGCTCACAAAACAGTACAAGCACTTGACATACATCAGTTTTTAGCAGAAGGAAATCTTGGCTTTCAATGCTTGTTGCTGAATTGAGATCTAATAAATAGATTTTTTTTGGCTTCTATAGGCTGGAAAGACAGGTGGAATAAATGAACACAGCAGCATTGATGCATCAAAGAAAAAAGAGAGCTTTCAGTCAATTGGAGAATCATGTAAATTACCCAGGAATATCCAAAATGTCATGCAGGTGTGCTAGTCAAATTACTACAATATTTTGAAGTATTTAAAATATTTGTATGAGTTGATACTATATTTCTGCATAAAAAACAGTATTCTGCTTTAGCCTTTTTAAGAAAGTAATCAGTGTCATAGAAGGAGAGCCACCTCTACTGTGATACTCCCCCCGTTGGAGCCCCACACTAAACTGGCAGAGCCAGGCCTTTAGGCTCTTCTGGAAGGTCAGGAGGGTCAAGGCCTTTAAATGATTACATATTCCAAGTTCAAATTGTTGACTAGATAAAAATCCATTGTATAAAAATGGATTAACTTTCTACCTTTGAAACAGCTTTATATTAGTTATGCATATTATTCCCAGTCCTTGAGAATTTTGAGATAAGAGCTCAAGTAGATAGACACTGAAAAACTTAAAAAGCTCATTTTAAAACAGTAAAAAGTGGTTAGCTTCATATAGTATGCTGAACCTTAATCTGGTTTGTTTTGCTTGGACTTAGTGTTTTGTGCAAACTCAGTAATATCCCGTATTAGGACTTGATTTGTAGAGTCAGAGCAGCAAAATGGCTCTGCTTTTCTGCTCTCATTGCATCTATGGTAGCTGCTCAATGGCCCTCTTTTGAGCGGCCAGCTTCCTCCTAGGTAAGGAAGGGCCTAAGGACTGAGTCACTGTGAGGGCTGTTTTAGGCCTCTAACATAAAACGGCTCAGATTTGCTTGTTCGTATTTTTAGGAAGGAGATATAGATTAGATTGCACTATAAGGGAAATGTAATGGCAAAGAGTTTAGAAAGCCTGATTTAAGGAACCTGAAAAGAGCCGAGTGCTCTGTGCAGTTATATGCCCTTCTCCACTGCTTACCTTTTTCTGTCATATTAGGTAGCTAAGCCTGTGCACCAAACAGCTGCAGAGTTTTGCTCTACTTCTAGCCTGCCAAAGGATCCAGTACTCAGAAGGGAAAAACTGCAAGATTTGATGATTCAAATTCAGGGGACTTACAACTTCATGCAGGTAAGGTTTATTGGTTAATATAAGGGAATTGATGATGAACAGGAAAGGTAATAATATAAAGGAAGAATGACATACTTTTTTATATATATAAAGTATCAAAAATTTTGAGGCCATATCTCTGAATACATCAAATATAAGGTAGATTCTGAAATTTTCCATCTCTCTCTCATATTGGCCCAGTGATATCAGTGATCTTGAAAAGATGAATTATTTTTGCATTGTGAGTTTTCAGCAGGATTTTATCTGGCCTATTTTAAAATCAAGACCAGAGAGAAATATTTCTCAATATGTTCAAATTTTACTTATAAATTAGGATCCTAAAATTATAATGTTAATAGTCAGCTTTATGGCCATGAAAACAGGATATTCAGTAAAACATTAATTAGACTGAAATATGTAATATTTACCCATTTATTTGATTGTTAAACAAATGCTACACTTTTAGATTATGTTATCTTGCTTTTGGGGTCTTTTAGTTGTATATATAAATGTGTATGTGTTTATATTTATACATATATACATTCAAAAGAGTAACATTTTTGTTTTCAAGGAATCACTTCTGGATTTTGATAAACCTTCACAAAGTGCTGGCTGTTCATCACAAGCCTCTTCCGTTGATTCTTCTGGTAATTCTATTCAATACTTTTAAATAAATAAAAATACATACAAGGAAATAAAAGAATAAAATAAAATAAGAAAATTAGCATTCATATTCTAATTTTAACTAGTTGATTATGCTTATGGCAAATTAAGATGACTTATTTGAATGTCTGACATTTTTTGAATAAAAAGAGTTTGTATGAAAACTTAATTTTGAATCTTTGTCCAAAATTTCTATTTCAACATTAATTAAAATAAAGAATGTATCAAAGCTGTATTTAAACTATGTCAACATATTGAAGAGATAATCTGATGTGTAAAAAAATACTGCAGTATTTTTATTTATTTAATGAAACATTTTGAGTTATCTTTAATTTTGATTTCAAATTGAAGATTTTAAAAATGTCTTGTCTAGTCTCGACTAGCTACTCAGATACATATCAATAATGCTAAATATAAATATAGCTGTCAGCCTTTTTAAATCTAGAAATGGTAACACTGTGTTACCTAATACAGGACTATCCAACTGATAGTTTTCTTAATTTATTGGAAACAGTTATAACCAGCTTCTTATTTTTTAGCTTCTAACGAACAACTTTCAAGCCAAAATGACTTCCCTGAACAAGTAATGCAGGTAAAATTGAGAGTTGTCATTTATGAAGAAAGATGTCAACTTTTAGATATAATATAATTTATTTGATCTAAAATTTATTTCTATTTCTCCATTGTGTGCCAGGGCTAAATTTACTCTTCTGTGTCAGGAAAAAGTAGCAGTCTCTTGAAGGACAATAAGGGGGGAAAATTGGCTTATTTGGATCCTCACTATAGGTAGTCCTCAATTTATAGCAGTTTGTTTAATTGACCATTTGGAGTTACAACAGAACTGAAAAAAGTGACTTATGACCATTTTTCACACTTACGGCCATTATAACATCCCCATGGCCATTTGATCAAAATTCAGGCACTTGTCAACTGACTCATTTATGACGGTTTCAATGTCCCGTGACACCGGTCACGTGATCATTGTTGCAACCTTCTGACAAGCAAAGCCAATGGGGAAGCCAGATTCACTTAACAACCGTATTACTAACTTAACAATTGAAGTGATTCACTTATAAACTATGGCAACAAAGTTCATAAAATGAGGCAAAAATCACTTAGCAACTGCCTCGCTTAGCAACAGAAATTTTGGGCTCAATTATTTCGTATGTTGAGAACTACCTATATAATCTGTACTATCAGGGACAGTATGCCTGACTCCCAGTTGTTGGGAGAACTTCAGTGGGAAGATTACATTCCATCATGTTCTACTTGTGGGATTCAGTCTAATGGCGATCAAAACACTAAACTGGACTAAATGTGTCCTGGCTAAACAACTGCCTCACTGAGCAAAAGAAATTTTGGAGTCATAAATTCAGGATTACCTGTATTTTCTGAGGTTAGTATTAGGATTTGTCCTCCTGTGAAAAATATCTAATCTTCTAAACTAGTCTGATTCCAAAAGAGACATGAATAAATGGAATTTTGATTCCCCCCCAAAAAACCACCTGTGTGTATATGTGTATGTGTATAAAATTCCTTCAAGATATTTACTACACCTGTTCCTGTTTAATCCTACTTATAATATGGCACACCAGGGAGATACTAAATTAAGCCTCCAAAATTCAAACCAGAATCATTGAGAAGTTGGGCAATTAGACATTTTTTAATTCGTTCCTTGTTTAATGTAATTATCAGTGATGGAATGTTTTCTATGATTGGGCAGACCAAAACTTCTTTCCAAAGAAGCTGCCTTCAGTTATCTGCCATTTTATATCTAATTGAGGATAACATTAAGAAAGGAAGAAAGAGGATGGCTTGCATAACAATGTTCAACAGGCAGCCAAGTTTATCTTTGTCTAGCCTTCTCACTGTGATAAAATATAAATCTTCACCGAAACCCAGTATCTTCAGTTGTCATTACATTATTATTATGGTTCATTGCATGGTCAGCCAGATGTTCAAACTGGAATTGGCATTTTTAACGAGCTATCAAGTCCTTCCCAAGGACCTGGGCTGGACAAATGTTGATTGTTTTTATTATTATTAAAAAATTTATATAGCCATCAACACATCGGTGATTCTAGGCAACTTACACCATTAATTTTTGAAAAGTTCATAAAATACTGTCTAAGTGAACATTTAACGATAAAGCAAATTTGATAATGTATTTCAAATTACACTTTTAAAGATCTCCTTTAATGGTGTTGTGTCAACTTTTATCATCGTAGAGTGCTTCTTCTCCCGTGACTTTGAATGGATCAAACACTTCCTTAGTTTCTGATAACACCTTGTCTGGATCAGAAACTGAACTTCATTCACCACAAGTAAGACAGCTTTACTAATTCCTCTCTGTTTTTGATTCTCTTGATCCTAATATATGTATTTCCCACCTTTAATCAGGGATTGTTTTTGCAGAGCTCCATCAACCTGTAATAGCTTTTGAGAAAGAAGTATGTGGCCTTATGCCAATAATGGCTGGGTGATGCGGGGTTGGGGGCAGGTTAATATCCAGTAGTTCAGTAGTATCAATACACCTTTGCCAGGAAAACAAGAAACAGTCAAGTATGGAAATACCTTGTACCTCTTTTCCAGAACCCCATTTACCTTCTCTTTCTACTGTGCAATATACTTTGAGAAGTACGGTGTCCCCAATACAATATTAGTTATCCTTTCTTTAGATATTGACCTCATTTTGTAGGAAGGGTAATTTTTTGCTGCATTTATTTTTTGGTATGAGGTCCGCAAATTTCTTGTTTCCTGAATGTAACCTGATTAGAGTTAAAGGAGGGAGCTGTAAAGGAAGTAAATGAAAATCCATTTTGTGGTTCTTTTTGTCCTTAAAGGAGAAACCCTCAGAGTGTCTATCATCATCAATAATAATAATAATAATAATAAACCCAATTCACTAAAACAAAATTGAATTCTGCCTTTTGCCCATTCTTTGCCTTTTTCAATTATAAAATGTTCTTACTAGAGGTAGAACTAGATAGGATTATTAGTGTATTATTCAATAAATGGTTTTATTAAGAAGCTTAGCTATTTATTAATTTGATCTTATTTCTGAGGGGTCCTTGGTGGCCTCCGAGTTCGGAGCCACTGATGATCTTACCTAGAAATGGGTAATGAAATAGCTTCAAGAAAACAACCAAGCTGAGAGACCACTAAGGACTCCTCATTTCAACCCTGAGCTACAAATATTCCCCTTTATTTATTAATAGAGGCAAAAAACTAGTGATTATTATAGCAGAGTACAGTGCAAGAACAGAATCTTTTGGGATTTCTTTCAACTTACCTCAGAGGAACCACAATTCTATCTTGGTTATATCTTGAAATGAGCCTTCTCTAGATATTACCTCCATCAATCTTTTAAGAAAGACTCATATTTAGTTTGGCCACTGAGCGCAACTTAACACCTTTCTCCAGACTTTGGTTCCAAATTGTCAAGGACTTCAGAATTTCAACTTCCCATACAGGTAGTCCTCAATCTATGGCCACTATTGGGACCAAAATTTCCATTACTAGGGAAGGTTAAGTGAGTTGCACCCAATTTTACTACCTCTTTTGCAACAGTCAAGTGAATCACACCGTCTTTAAGTGAATTTGGCTTTCCTCCATTGACTGCTTGTCAGAAGCTGGCTGGGAAGGTTGCAGGTGATCACATGACCCCAGGGTGCTGCAACCATCATAACATGCTAGTTGCCAAGTGGCCAAATTTTGATCATGTGGCTGGGAGAATGCTGTGGTTGTAAATGCGGAGGACTAGTTGTAAGTCAGTTTTTTTCAGTTCTGTGGAAACTTCACTGAACAAATAGATGTAAGTTGAGGACCACTTGTGATCTTTGTGTAACATAACTCAAGAAGTTACTGAGCAGTTTATGTCATTAAAAGACCATAGTCATTCTGCTTAAAAAACAATATATTTAAGAATAAGAATTGAGTAAAAAAATATATTCTTTTTTGCTCTTTTTACTTTTACATATCTTTGTTTCAGAGAATCCTTCCAAATATTTATAATAATGTAGGTTATTAAAGATAAATATAAGTGTTGGCTTGCAGAAACTGCTGATGTTTGACCATTTAGAGTTTAACAACTTTAGTTGTTTGTTGCCACTGTGCTTCTTCTCTTCAAGGTTCCTACTCCACTTTCAAGTGAATCACAGACTCCACTGACACCCTCAAGAACTACCGTGTCCCCAGTACATCAAGGGAACGTTTTTCAATCTCCTCCATCAAGTAGCAGTTCTGTTAATGTAAAAGCACCTCCTTTTCAGGCTATGCAGACTGTAAGTACAATATAGTTAGATATTAGACAACATGACAAAATATTGGCCTTTTTTTTTTTTGGCAGCTCTTTTACAAAGAACAGATGGTCTTTATATAAGATAAGACAACAAAACCACATTTTGTTGAATAGACATTTCAGATAATCTTCGCTTAACAACCATTCAAAGTTATGATGGCCACCTTTCAAAAGGTACTTTTGACCTGGTTCCAGAGTTCTGATGACTGTGTGTGCATGCATGCATGCATACACACACACACACACACACACACACACACACACACACTGCAGTCATGTGATCATGTTTTGGTTATTTAGCAACTGGCTTGCATTTATTGCTATTTGCAGCATCTTGCAATCATATGTCTGATTTTTGGCATTTTTTTGCGGTTTCAATTATCACTTCCAATTTCTGGCCAAAACCGCCAATTGATTCATTTAATGACTGCCAGAAAAAATGTAAAATCACAGTTGTGTGGTAACCTGCTTAATGACTGCCACAATGTACAACCATCATTCTGGGCTCAATTACTATCATAACTGGGCTCAATTATGGTTAGAAACTACCTATAATCTATTTTTCACAATGTTTCATTTTAGAAATTAGAACAGTAGTAAGTTAGAAATCCCAGCGTATATCTGTAGATGAAATTAAACATTGAAAATAAAAAGTGTGCAAGCTAAACATGAGACTTCCTGGAAGTTATAGAATATCTTTTTCATTTCTCCATGGCAAATTGTTAACATTTCAGTTTCCCCTTTGAATTATATCTGTCTGCTTTGGAGCACTAAAAGCTGCTGCTTGGGTTTATTTGAGGCCAACATAGTTAATAACCTTGTGTCTTTTTTTGTAGGTGTTCAAAGTGAATGCACCTTTGCCACCTCGTAGGGAACAGGATGCAAAAGAGAATTCTCTGCACCCCACAGGATACAATCAGAATTTTTCAACAGCAAGCACACAGACGCCACCCCCATGTAAATTGCCATCCACTCAAAATGCAGAACAAACTACTTTTTCACAAGACACACTTTCAAATGGTAAGAATTTCAGTGTAAATCAGTAATTGAACTGATAATGCAAGATATGACCATGAGTCTAAACTCATTTTGAACATTCCATAATATTTAACACACATTACTTTAAAAATGACAGAAAAACTTAAGTGTTCATATTTGGTTTTTTAGTCCTATTAGAAAACCTTTCATTCATGGAGTCGTCTTTTGAGAAGGTAGTGCAATCTGATGTGACCAGAATGAATGTTGAATTTTAAGTGGACCATACTTTTTTACCCTTATTCTGGAAAGTCCCATGATTATATAAGAAGTGGGGGATGAGGGAGAGAGAGAGAATGTGTGTGTGTGTGTATATATAGATATAGATATAGATATAGATATATAGAGAGATATATAGATATATATATAGAGAGATATCTCAAAAAGGAAAATAATCGTAAAGGCAAGTGCATTTTAACAATAAGTCAAGAGGGTAAACATAACGGCCACTGAAAATTGGAAACATTTCTATTACAAAACTTTAATTGTTTTCATTTGATTTGACTTCTTGAAGGAGGTTTATTTCTCAGCTGAATCATCCAACCTGGCCAAACTCTTCTGTCCTCCCTTATGTCCTCCAATCTCCACCTACATCTAAAAAGCTAGAAAATGTTCAGCTTCCTCCTCCTCCTCCTTCCCTGTAATCTCACGTATACTTCCCGTGGGAGTATAATTGGAGACATGTTGGAGCTTTTACTGCATAACAGTTTTCAATAACCTACCATGGCATCTTCTTTTTATCATTTCTACATTTCACACCCACACTCCATGCGCTGATTTTATTTGTGGTAGACCATGCGTTCCAATGAAAGATTTTGATTTTGTCTACTATGATTATATGGGCAAGGAGAGAGAGTAATAACTTGGTTGCAAAGCTATAAAAGTGTCCATTTTCTCCATTCCATTCCAGTCAAGATCAAGGGAAATACTAATACCACTCAATAAATCCTTAGTAAGACCACACCTAGAGTACTGCATCCAGTTTTGGTCACCACCTTATAAAAAAGATGTTGACACTCTAGATAAAGTACAGAGAAGAGCAACTAGGATGATGAGGGGACTGGAAGCTAAAATATACGAAGAACGGTTGCAGGAACTGGGCTTGGCTAGTCTAGTGAAGAGAAGGACCAGGGGAGACATGATAGCGGTCTTCCAATATTTGAGGGGCTGCCACAGGGAGGAAGGAGTCAAGCTATTTTCTAAAACGCCTGCAGGCCAGACAAGTAATAATGGATGGAAACTGAACAAGGAGAGATTTAACCTGGAAACAAGGAGAAACTTTCTGACAGTGAGAACAACCAATGGAACAGCTTGCCCTTGGAAGTTGTGGGAGCACCATCACTTGAGACTTTCAAGAAGAGATTAGACTGCCATTTGTCAGAAATGGTGTAGGGTCTCCCGGTTGTGTGGGGAGTTGGACTAGATGACCTACAAGGTCCCTTCCAACTCTGATTATCTGTATCTATCAGTTCAAAACTTATAGTAGAATGTTCTCTTTTGAGAGGTACATGTTCTGGACAGCTTTTGCATGATTCCAAATTATTTTTAGGTGCAGGTGATGTCTTCGTGGGAGCTAGGCAAAGGAAATGCCCACTTACGAGGTGTTGCTTTTGAGTACCTTGGTACTCTTCTCTACTGTGGGAAAACGGAATGCTGAATTAGTTCCTTTGTCATTAGTAACAAATAGAGAGTGAATCATACCCATTTTGATGAGATGAATGGCAGAAAAACTTAAATTGCCAAGCTTGCTTTCTTAATGTCTTATTTTAATACATTGGTTTCTTTTTGTAGCAAGAAGTGTTGGGTACATATCATTGTCTGTCTTAATACTGCTATGCCTCCAGACTGGCTAGTTTATGTTAAGTCCCAACTATTCAATCAAGTTTTAAATTCAACAAATTCATTTATGTTTAAACAGTTATTAACAGTAGGTGATATTCCTGTGTGTTACAAGCAGAGTGCAAATAACACTGAATAATAAAGGTTGAGGGGAAAGGTCAGGGATCACATCCTTTTCCTTTGCAGTAGCTTACAGGAGTATGTAAGATGTGTACTTCTCATCTTAAGCAGGTACTTGCCAGGCTGAGGTAGCTGTTCCTGTCAGCAATGGTACCCTCACTTTTTATGCAGCACAGACAGCCACTTTTCCTAGACCATCGCAGCCTTTTATTGGAAGCCGTGGATCTATCAGAGGTTCTCTCAGGGGTGTAAGATCGATGACTAATTCTTATCGCTCTCCTGGTGGATATAAAGGTAGGTTCCAGTTCTATGAAATGCTGGTGTATCTTTTGATGTAGACCTATTTCTAGTCCCGTTCAGAAATGAATCCTGAAAGAATGATCATTAACTGTAGTTGAGATTCCATGGACTTACACTGTAGAATGTGCAATACAATTCTTATTGGACCAAGAACACAATACTACTACGAATAGCATGTCAAGGGCACATTGCGGAAAGGGGCATGATATACATACTTGAATTAGATTATATATAAATATTGTTTCAGCCTGTCACTTCCTCTTAGGCAAGAAATTGGGTCTGTTCTTTTGAATGACACAAGATGTAGAGTATTACAGTTCTCTAATACAGGGGTCTGCAACTTTCTGGCTGAGGAATTCTGGGAGTTGAAATCCACAAGTCTTAAAAGTTGCCAAGGTTGGAGACCCCAGCTCTAATACACCAGTGGAGAAAGGCACATTTTTAGTATTTTAATGGAAATAAGTGTTTTACACCAAACAATGTTTTATTTCAGCAGGTTTTGAAGCTTACAGAGGATCGCCTTCAATCCCTAATGGAACCTATAGCCAATTACAGCTTCCTGGCAGAGATTACTCTACAGTGCAGTATTCTCAGAGGGTAATGGTTTGACGAGATTTGTTGCAGACCAAAAATGCTTTACTATAATTTGGCATCCTATATTCTGTGCAAAAGTCAAAATCAAGCATTAACTTGACATAAGGGATGATGCTTCATAAAACAGCATGCTATGACTAATAATTTAGTATGGCTAATATTAAGTGCTACCTAGAGCAAATAAATGGAGTATAAATAAATAATGGTTAATATATCATAGTTCACACCTGGTTTGTATATTATTTCCTATTGATGAATTTTAATTTGAGCTTTATATTTCTGAAATTCGTTCCCATTGCCTATTTGACATCATACAGTTTTTCTTATAAATAATACATTTGAAAAGAACCTCATCAATTAAGTATGCTGGAAAATCAGAAAAAGAATTGGCTGTAGTTGTAAAATTTACAGGCATATGATATATCTTAATTAAACTAGTGCTAGTTAACAATATTGGACTGCAGATACTTGCCTGGTAGCAACAAACAATGCAGGAGATAGCACAGTTCCCTCCCATTCTACTATCCCACCAATCATGACATGGAAAATTCAAATGACGGTAAGAATGAAGTTGTTGCCCTTTACTAAATTTAGGCAAATGTTTATTTTCTAGGAAATGAATTACCAACCAAACTATAAGAGAGGAGGTATTAATAGTGGTCGAACTAATTCAAGAGGTAAGTTTACTTTTAACATGATTTAAAATGTAAGACTCTTAAGTCACATTGCAGTGCTCAGGTTGCATTCCACTATGATGAATCATCCCAGCGCACTATGGATTACGTGTATTGTTGTCTGAACAATCTAGTACAGACTCCATGTTCTTAGGCACTTTTATCTGATATATGCCTGGAAAGGAATCTGAGGCGCTTCTGAAGGACCCATTCAGTACTGTTAAAAATATACAGTAATTGCATACTTAGGTACTAATTTTGAACAGTTAATGGGAATTTGAAACTTTTACAAAGGTTCTTTTCATTAGAGTAGGGAGGAAAATGTCCATCCCCACCTTTCCTCAACAGGGATGACTGATGTTCGTAACTTTTTCTGCTCTTCTCTTTCTCTGAACCACTTCTGTCCAGATTGACATCTACATTTTGGTCTATGCCTGGAACAAATTGAGTCATTTTATTCGATGTTTGAATGCAAGCATTTAAAAAGTATCCATTTGGATTCAGACAATCTGAAATCAGCTATTCCAGGCACAGAACATTTCGCCCATCTGTATTGGAGACTAAAAAACAGTCATTTTTTTCAGGCTATTGAAGAAAACATTTAATTCCAGTTTAACCATATCAACTTTATATATAATATAAAATCCTTAAAGCTTCTATGTTTTAGGTTACAGGCAAGAAAACAGACAGGAAGAAAACTGCTCAGCAGGTAGAGCTCGAGGTAGAACACGTGGTAAAAAATACTTCAGAAGAAGGGAATTGAGAAAAACTGAGAAAAATGAGAAAGAAGCAGAGTCTGAAAACAATGTTGTAGTTGCCAAAGTGCACCAATTCAGTTAATGCTGATTAACAATATAGTTGACAGATTGGTAACTTGGTTTTCTACACTAAATAAAAACACATTTTTAAAGATGCGTCTTTTCTTGGAAGTAAGAGCAATGCATCCTTATAAAATATATTTCCTATTGTATAATACAATATTTAAGCAGCTATGGTTAGTTGAGTGAGTAAGCAGCCACTATACATTCATGATAAAATATAAATACATGTAACATTGCAATTCTATCTATGGGTTTTTAGGCTTTCTGTTATGTATATCAATGGGTTGTAGTAATTTGCAGTAAACAGTTCAGTTTCTGTTTTTATCGTCAGAAGTTGTGAGAATCTTTAGTTTAAAGAGCATCATATAACATGAAATAGTTCTGGAAATAAAATTTAATAACTTATAATATCTTAGCTGTCTCCAACCTGGTATCCTCCAAGTATGTTTTGGATGATAACTTTCAGAATTCCCCGAACATTTACAGGGCAACAGTTTGGGGAAAATAATATAGTTTTGATAACTATACAAACAGTTTTAATGGCAAATTTATATTTCTCCATGTGGTATTAAAGATACTGCGGATGTATTTAAGTCTCTGGTGTCTAGGATAGATTTAAATTATTTCAGTGCTGAACCCATTGCAGAAGCATGTTCAATGCATATATCACCTAAACATGCTGGATTGGAGCATGGCTTGTTTTTAATGAAATAATACTATTCTGAGACCCTGGATCTGCAAGGGGCTAATAAGTAAAGTAACAAGAGGCAATCAAAGGTGGCTAATTTTATCATTTAAATGGCAAAGGAAGACTTCCTAAAATCTCAACAAATATTGGAGCAGAAAAGCATGGTTAAAATTGGAAGTCAGGGAAAGTAAAACAACCTAGTAAACTGTAGATTATTCTCAAGTCATGGTTATACTTGTTAATTAACTGTTGAAGCCAGAGGTAACACAGTGTTATATCTCTCACCCTTAAAAAAACATACATTGTTCATATGTGAAACCATATGTCTCCTTTTCACAATTTGAAGAACACAAATTTGTAAAAACTAGGGACGAATTGGTAACTGGCACTTGTCTAGATCAGCCTTCTCATACATGATGCCATCCATATTATGACTGTAGTTAATATGGGGAATTGTAGTTCCAACAGAATTGGAGATGCTCAGCTGGGGAAGGTTAATCTACTCTATAAATCTTGGCAAACTGAACTTTGAAGACTTCTAAAACTAGATTTCTTAATGGTTATGTTAGAACTAACAATTGCTCATGATCTCCAACAGCAGGATGGAACGATTCTTCTCAGGTGAGCAGTCCAGAGCGTGACAATGAGATGTTTAACACTGGGGAGACTGGGCAGGGTGATTCCCGCAGCATCACTCCTGTTGATATACCTGTGACAAGCCAAGCAGCCACCCTACTACCTGTTCACGTCTACCCCCTCCCACAGCAGATGAGAGTTGCCTTTTCTGCTGCTAGAACTTCTAACTTGGCTCCTGGAACTTTAGATCAACCCATCGTATTTGACCTCTTGTTAAACAATCTTGGCGAAACCTTTGATATACAACTTGGTAGGTTCAATTGTCCTGTTAATGGTACTTATGTATTCATATTCCATATGTTGAAGCTAGCTGTGAATGTACCATTATACGTGAACCTCATGAAAAATGAAGAGGTTTTAGTCTCTGCGTATGCCAATGATGGTGCTCCAGATCATGAGACTGCAAGCAACCATGCAGTCCTCCAGCTCTTTCAAGGAGACCAGATTTGGCTACGCCTTCATAGAGGAGCTATTTACGGAAGTAGTTGGAAATATTCTACCTTCTCAGGATATCTCCTGTATCAAGACTGAACATTAAGCTGCTCCAACTGTTTGGTGAAGGAAGGTGAAAACTGGTGGGCTAGTTTCACATTGCATACTGAACACTTAAACACGCCATTGTAAAGTGGGAAAATGGTGATCTGTCTTGCAACGAGTTGGAGTTGGATCAGCACTGATGTGGCACTTTATCAGTTGTGATATAGCCTTGATAGTAAAGCTCTGGATGTTATGTTTGCACTTACTCTTGAACTGTAATTTATCAGCTTACTATGCTACTCAAATTTGCCTCAAGTTTAGGCTATTCGCAACGCCTTGTGCCTAAATAAAACAAATTAATATGCCTTAGTATCAATGTCTGTGCTACTGTGATAATTTTGGGTCATGTTAACTTTCTGGAGGGCTGTGAAGGCTTGGCTTATTCATCTGGGCATTATGCTAGGATAGAAGCGAATAAATACAAGTGTGAATTCAGAGTCGGTGGGATAGTGCTGTGATTGAATTATATGGTGGTGGTGTGAGGTTTAATTCACCAGATTTCATTCTGTTTTTAATTGAACATTATTTTGAGTTGCCAAGGTTTATCACATCAGATAGATGGCCACATACGATTATAAATAAATAAAATAAAATTCCACTGGAAAAAGAAAACAGATCCACACTCAAGTTAGGAAGTATGTATGTTCCTTGCATGTGAAAAGTTGCAGATTTAATCCCCAAAAATCTTCTAGTAGGAGGAAAAGATAGCAGATGATGGAGTTAGCTGGAGAATGACTACTAAAAATTAGATGGATCATCCCTCAATTTGTAATGCAACATCATTTTTATTTTTAAATGTTGAAAGCAAGTGGAATATTGAGACTAAGATTCATTTCCTATTTATGTAATTAGGTAGAAAATTTGAGTTCTCAACACAGCAGGAACACCTCTTGATTCCCAGGATTGGGAAACTAGCACCCTATATAGAAAACATCAGCTGCAAGCATCATCGTTTCTAAAACTGCTTCTGACCTTGTATTTACCTGGCAGTAGTTCAGTGCATAAGAGCTATACTTTACTGCCTGGGGGAAGAAAGGTAAGTTAAGGTGGTAGCAGTGGGAGAAACCACCATATAAACCACCATAGGGGCACTGTGACTGTCCATACTAACCATGGTGTGAGACCATAAGATGTTTCTCAAGTTCTAAGTGTCCGAAAAAGTTGGAAATCTTGAGTTTATTATAGTCTTTGTCTGTTCTAGTTTTGATGCCAGTGCTGCAGCAGAAAAAATAACCTACAGGTAACTAAATAAATGGGGAAGATGGTAAACCTTTACACAAGCAGGAATGTTACATTTAATTTTATTAAACCATTAGTTCTGTTGGTCACTTTGCTTCAGATTTTACACCTTTGTTATAAAACACTGTGTTGGAATTGAGTGGCTGTGTCACTCAAGGTGTTTGTTAGGGACTGTTTCCCTTGGACATCTGAAGACTAAAGGCTTCAAGATCTGCACTATAGCATCACTGTGGAACCACTCTGGAGATAATCACAATTGAGGACTTTACTTGAAACTACTTGAAGAGCAGATTGGAAGAATACCCGTAAGCAGAGATGGTAAATTCTCCTCTGCGTTTTCCAACTTTTCTCTACAACTTGGGTTCTGTTCTATTTTACATTCCTGGTATTGGTGTATAAGAACAACTACTAATCATCTAGAAAGTGCTTCTCTCTCTCTCTCTCTCTCTCTCTCTCTCTCTCTCTCTCTTTTTTAAAGTTCACATTTAATTTGACTCAGCATTTTATAAATTCTAAAAGGCCCTCCTATTTTTCCAAATGACAATTATGTTAGCTAGATTATTTGTGAAGCTTCCATCACAAGCTCTAGCCTTTTCTCTCTCTTCATCAAAGGATTCAGTTGGCCTATGTCCTGAAGGCACCTCCAGATCTTTTTGTGAATGTGTGCGGTATTGAAAAGCTTGCAAACATCTCAATATTGATGAGGTAATAAAACATTTTAAACTTGCTTTGTGTGTTACCCTTTAAAAAAAAATGAACAAGTTAATGAAGCTATATTTGAGTAAAAAGAAACATCTGAAACTTGCCTATTTACTATGCAGTTTTTTTAAATGGGTTTTTTTTGTACAGTAACTTTTCTTGCAAACAGTTTTCTGTTATTTATTGATAAAATCTTGTGGATTATTTCATTTGCAACTAGCAAATCCACAAAAGTTATTCCTGAATTATAGTTGTATGGAAATGTATCTGGCCCCTTTTGGATGTTCTGAATGTTTGCTTTCCTTTGCAATTGAATGTGATCAGGGCTCCATGTGGATCCATCTGATAAACAGAAAGTGAATTACGAAATTTAAAAGTTAAGTACTTGTTTTATTTACTGTTTAAAGTCATTCAATCTGCAGCCCGTCACTGAAAATGTAGTTGTCTTCCTTTAACTTGTTGCATCACATTTAGCTGTGATAATGTTTTAAACAAATGGCCTCCTGTAATTGGAGATCAACCTCCTATATTGCTGTGTGGGAATATTGGCCAATTCCTCCATGGTGTGCTGTTTTAATTCGGTAGAATTTTAGGATTTTTTAGTGGAACTGTTGCAATTCAATGGCATTTAGGCCTGGAACTTTGATTTAGCAACTCAAGAACACTGAGTTTTTTTTTCTTTATCCATTCTCTTGCAGATTTGCTTGTATGTTTGGGATCGTTCTGTTGCTGCATGACCCACTTCACCTCAACTTTAGCTGTCAGAAAGATGGCCTGATACTGTTCTGAGGGATTATTAAAAGTAGAATTCATGCTTTATTCAATATACCAAGTCATCCAGAGGTTAAAGCAGCAAAGTATCTCCAAACTATGACAGTACCCATTTCTGTGTTTGATAATCAATATGAGGTTCTTATTGTGGAATGCAGTGTTTGGCTTCCACCAGTCCTAACTGAATCTGCGTGACTTGGAAAGTTCCACCTTTGATTTATTTGCCCATAGAACCTTTTTCCAGGAGTCTGGAGATTCATCCAGCTGTTTGGCAAAATTTAAATATGTATGGCTTCTTCAGGGGCGGGATTGAAATTTTTTAACAACCAGTTCTGTGGGCGTGGCTTAGGTGGTAGATGTGGCTTGGTGGTCATGTTATTAGCTGGGTGTGGCCAACTTGACATCACTCACATCGAGGCACACATTTCCTCGCTTGGCCTCATGACTGTGGGGATGCTGCAACAGTCGTGTGAAAAACGGTCATAGGTCACTTTTTTCAGTGCCGTTGTAACTTTGAATGGTCACTCCACACAAGCAAAGTACCAGCAAAGGAAGGGAAAAAAACTCCAGAGACGTTCCTGAGACAGGAAGTCTAGTCCTGCCAAGAATGTAATAAGGGTTAACGGAGAGGCA